GCCCCGGCCCCTTTGTCCCTGCGCTCCGCCACCCGGGTCGGCCGTAGGGAGAGGTGGCAGATGGCCAGTGGCAGAGGCGGCCCCAGGACCCTCGGGAACCGCGATGAGCATCGGCCCCAACCCACCCCTCCCCAGCACCGTGGGGAGGTGGGTCAAGAAATGGTCCGGGCCAGAGAAGGAGGGATGGCGGTGAGATGTGGGTTACGTCCTCGTGTGCGGTTTACGTATGCGGAAAGGGAAAGGGGAGGTAAAGGCCGGGCATCCGTCAGTCCCAGCGCACCCAGCCGTCTGCAGGCAGAAAGGACGGGACCAAAAGTCTTCAAAAGAAGTTCTGCGAAGCGTCAGCCTCAGAGAAAGATGGATGGAAAGTCATATGCCCTGACACTAGCCCCAGGAGGGGCTACCCCCTCTATTTCTGCAGGTGCCGACTCTTAAGTCCCTCTGTTCTCACGCTCGATCCTTGCTTGTTTTGAAATCCAAAAGGCTCTTCCACCCCGCCACCACTCCCCGCTCACGAATACACACGCACACACCCACATACACGCCCTGAAGCTCCTCCCTCCCACACGAACTACAACACAACAACTCTAGGTGCAAAGCTCTCCTTCCCGCTGCTGCCGGGTCAGCCCTGATCCCACGGCGTCTGCAGGGCCGCCCTACTGCCAGCCAGACCCGAAGGGCGCCTCTCTGCACCACGCGTCTGCCCCGCTGCCCTCAGTGCGTCTATTTGTTCTGATTTACTACAGAGGCAGCGATGGTTAAGGGCCCTCTGGAAAGGTTCCGTTTCTTAAACTGCAGGGGGGCGGAGTGGAGGACAAGAGCAACAACACTCCAGAGGCATTTATGATATTATACTGCGCCAATTTTGGTTATGGTTATAGCTGTAAACACATTTATTTCATTCTTGTAAACCAGTTGTGATAAATACTGCATAAAGCAGAGAAAAGAGACAGCGATTAGGACTGCTTACTAATAAAAGGGCTGACATCTTTTCAGTGCTTTTTCCTTCAGCCAAGAAAAAAAAATACTACAAGTAGACCCCTTTTACCCGTAAATTGCGATGAATCACTTTTCTTACAGTCTCCAGCATCCTGAAATCCTTTTTTTCTCTGCCTTTTTGGTGCCATTGTCTCTTGTTGCATTGTCTCTCTGGCGGGGCTCTCGGGTTTTTCTGCCCGCACTAAGCATGGGGGCAACATCATGAGAAGGGTCGGAGCAGGGGAGGAACGCACACCACACCCTCCCTCCTCCGCGGCCAGGCGAGGGGGAGCTGCTGCCCCTTCCCCTGCCCTCCGGCCATCCCGGCCCCTCCGCGGCTTCGCTCCGCGTTTCCTGCCACGGAACTGAGGCTGAGGGGGCGATCCCGGCTCTTCAGGCTTTTCCGTGGGAGTGTGCCCCCGCTGTGGCCCCAGAGTTCACCCGGAGCCTCGGAGGCGGCTCCTGCTTGCTGAATTCCCCCATTTATTTAAATTGAGTTTGTGAGAACTTTAAACCTTGTAAAACGTTTCCGTTTTCTTTTTCTTTGATTTTTGTTTTATGTTTCTGGGTTTTGTTTGGGGGTTTTGGGGGTTTTGTTTTATTGTGTGGGGCTTTTTTTTTAGTTCGTTTTGCTTTGGTTTTCTTTAAGTGTAGTCAGCATCCGGAAATGTGGGCACAAAAGAACCCAACCCTTCCATGAGCGTTGCGGTCCAATTTAACCCAGTGGCAGAGGAGTGAAAATGCCGGTGAGGTTGCTCGCTTTCCGCAGGGACATGGCTGGAGCAGAGGGAAGGAGGAGAACCGAGGCCGAGGTTTCACCGCGCCCGCAGCTCAGCCAAGCTGTTGTTTTAAAAGAGCAATAAAAGTGAATTATGACTAAACGCCTTCTCACTTAATGGTTTTAGACGGGGATCCCCAGCCTGGGCAAATACGTAAGAGGATTTTTATTTGTGAATGTGTTCCTGCAATTGATCTCTTTGATGACATTCTCATTCATAGAAAGAGTTTGATTTATGACTTTCGGAAGAATTGCGTTCAGCCCTTCCAGCTATAACCCACGCATCCCAGCTCCGCAGCGTGCTCAGGGCTGGGAGAGAGCGCTGCTCGCACGGACGGAGAGCGGAGCCCCGCTCCCAGCCCCAGCCGAGCCCCGCTCCCAGCCCCAGCCGAGCCCCGCTCGCCCGTGCACCGCAGCCACCCGCACCCACTCACGCCGGGAGCCGCGAACGTCCCCGCCCGGGGTCCCGGGAGCGGCAGAGCCCCGCCGGCATCTGTTGCTCCGTTCTAGCCCGAAGGACGGGGCTCACCCTCCGCTTTGGGGCTCGGCAGCGCCGGGTGGCAGGCACTTCTGCGGAGATTCCCGAAACCCGTCTGTGCCGCCTCCAGCAGAAGAGCGGGGAGCCCGAGGAAACTGTAACTTTAAAGTCAGGGTTTGCCCTTTTCCTTATCAGTCTTTCACCTCTCAAGAAGGCTTACACACAAAAATATCTTCGGGTCTGCCCCCGCACCGCCCCCGAGAAGGATGGAGTGGAGAGGCCGGTTCCTCCCTAAATATTTTTTTTCTTCCCCCTGCATTTCTGCCACCCTTTTGATTTTACAGGCACTAACTTCTCTATTTCCTCTCCTCCTAGGGCTGATTTCTTGGATTACTCAGCACGTGAGAAGTAACCAACTACATTCTCTGTGAGCTCTGATATTTTTAAGATACGTTTTCTGAAATATCTTGCTGGCTGCTAAGCACTACTTTCTAGAAAATCAGGATTATTTTAATTTTTATTCTTTTAAAAAGCACCTTTCCTTTCGTTCATGTAACAGGCTGGTTTCTGCAGGAGACGCCTATCCTACTGAGTCTGTCTTACGTTCTGCCTGTGACAGAGGAAGTCCTCGTTCATGCTTTTGTTACAGCTCAGGGTTTCCAAGCTTTGTATCCTCACAGAGATAAGATGCCACATTTATACATTAAAAGGAACAAATCTCCATCAAACCTGTGAACGGTTTTAATTTCTTTAGTTTGTTTTTCCTTCCCTTATGAGAATCCTTATAATAAAGAAAATGAACGAATTTTCCTCTCTAAAGTGTCCTAAATTGCCAAAAGGGAAGAGCTCCTTGTCAGAACGTTGGATTTTGATTATTAGTAAATTAATAGTGGAAGGGATGGGGAGAGATACCCGTCTTGTTATCCATCTTGAAAGCAGAGAGAAAGAGAGGAGAAAGAGAAAGAAAAAAGAGAAAGCTCCTTGTAGCAAACAAGAATTTATTCTACCAAAAATACTTATGACAACGCATCCTAATGTAATACAAAAATAAAAAGAAAGTGAAGATACATTCCTATATGATCACTTTCTTACAGACCTCATATATTGCTTTCATAGAAGGACCTAGAATGTGGCTAGGTTAAAATTGAACACAACTAAAACTTCATAGGAAACGGCAAAATGGCATATCAGAGGGAAGTAACAAACAGAAAATAGTGAAGAGGGAAAGGGAGGGGAAGCATAAAATTAATTCACTGGGGGAAAAAATTAAGAAGAACAAGGAGGAGAAAGCAGGACCCTGGGAGAGGACTTCTTTAATTTCTTAGTAATTCAGATGCTGCAAGTCAATTGTGGTGAGTGTGTCTGTAAAAAAGTCAAAACTGTCAGCAGAGATATCTACGGGACTGTCCAGAGATCCTGGCAAACTGGGGGAAACTGCATCTGAAAGCTGTAGGCAGGAATCTGTGGAGAAAACGTTAAAGTCCTGTAAAGAAGGGACATCTAGGGCCTCAGGACTGTCATTGTTCAGGCCAGCTGCACAGTTCTGGGCCATTGTTGAGAGGCAGTTTTGAACAGTGGGTGACTGATGTTGAAAATGTTTCAGATTTTTCTCATTGCTCGTTAAAGGCGAAACGGGGAAAGTTTGGGATTCGCCATTGTGCGCATTCTGCGCCTGCTGCTGGGAGAGGGCATTCTGCTGGAAAGCGTAGCCTTCCCGCTCCAGGAGAGCGCCGGAGACGTTGCTGAGGGCTTGCTCGAAGAGGGATTTCTCCTCCTCCTCCTCTTCTTCCTCGTCCACTGCTTTTTCGGGGTCCTCTAGGTTCTTAAATTTCCCCTCGCTGTTTTGATTCTCCTTGCACTGGGTCTGTCTCTTGTGCTTCATCCTCCTGTTCTGGAACCAGACTTTGACTTGTCTCTCAGTCAGATCCAGCAAGGCTGCAATCTCAACCCTCCTTGGTCTACAGAGGTACTTGTTGAAATGAAATTCTTTCTCTAGCTCCAAAAGCTGGGTGTTGGTGTAAGCCGTCCTCAGGCGCCTAGATCCACCGCTACCGCTATCGGGGATTTCAAGGGGGTCTGTTAAAAAAAAGAAAGAAAAAAAAAAAAGAAAAACACCACCACCACACGCACCCCAAAGCATCACCGCCCGAAGAGCCAAAGCAAAGGCACACGGACACACGTACAAAACAGATAAATACACGGATTGAATTTCAGCACCCCAGCTCATCGCATCCCGGGGGGGTGGGGGGGAGTGCTCTCTCTGCATGTATGTGTCTATATCTATATGTCCATATAGCATAAAATAGCAACTGCAACAAAATGGCCGCCTTTGGATGCAGTAAACCCATTGTGTTGCACTGCTGAGCGCCCGGTGCTGCGTGCCCCTCGGCCACCTCCGCCAAATCGCTGCCTCCAGCTCCCCAACCTCCCCACACCAGAGCAAACTTTATATTAGCCATACCGCAATTTATAATTAATGCATCAGCTGCTTAGCTGAGCGGGAGCAATCTATCACTCTTCATTACTGTCAAATATCCTAACTCTAGGACGGCGAGACAAGAGAGGTCAGCTCCAACTCAAATAAATCATCCCGCATTAGGCAAGTTTGGGGAAAGTTTGGGTTTCCACCGAGCCCCGCCAGCTCCGTCCTTCCCGCCCGCCCGCCCTCCGCCTCGTCCCCCCGCGAAGCCGGGGGGATGCGGGGAGCCAAAATAGCGGCCCGGCGGGGCTGGCGGCGCGTCTTTGGACTGACCTTTGTGGCTGAGGCAGGCAGGTCCAGCGGCTGAGGCGGAGGCCGAAGCGGGCGGCAGCGCGGATCGCTTGGACGCCTTTTTCTCTTTCATCCAGGGGTACTCCGGGGGCGGCGGGGCGCCGGCGGGGCCCGGGCTGCCGCTGCGGCCGCGGGGGCTCGCCTTGGGGCGACCGCCGCCGCTGTGGCGAGGGTGGCTGCCGGGGTTCAGGCTGGGGATGGTCTGCTCGAAAGGAGGAGGAATCAGTGTCGAGTGTGAAAGCGTCGAGTTCTTGATTGATGAACTTTGAAATGTATCACCGACAGGGGGAAAAGATGTCAGGCACTCAGCAAGCGATGGCTGGCTATTGATAAAACCGATCTCTCGCTCAAATGCGAAATTCATGGCCTTCAACTGGCAGCCCCCGCGGAGAAAAAGTTCCCTCGGATTCAGGGGCCTCGGGGGGAGGGGAAGGCCCAGGAAAAAGGAGAGAGAGGAGAAAAAAAATATAGCATAGAAGATCGCTGGTGGGGTGTTTTTTTTCTAATTCACTGATTACAGCCGTATGGGGACCGTGCTACTATTAAACTATTGAATTCATGGAGACAAGGTTGAAATTGGACCGAATTGGCTGTCACATGATTGCCTCTGCCCAATGACAATTTGGGCTTTAATCAAAAGAAGCCACTGTCTGTTTGATTGATCCAAAAAAGTCGGGAAGGAACGCCTCATTGGGGGCCAGAAAGGCTTTATTTACACTTTTTTTTTAAAAGGGGAAATGATATCTCGAGTATCTATCCCCTTGGCGTCCTAATCTGAAATGATCGGGGGTGGGGAGGAGGGTGCGTGTGCGTGGATATGTTTGTGAGAGAGGCTGCGAGAGTGTGTGCGTGTGTGTGTGTGTGTGTGTGTGTGTGTGTGTGTGTGGCTGCTTGTCCTGCAGCCTGCTGCCTTCCTCGCATCCACCCGCACACTCTTCTCTCATTGTTTGGGACTGTCAGGAAAACGCTTTGCACCTCACAAATCATTTAAGCACCTCAATCTGACGCCTTGAGTCATTAACAAAGTAATCCATTAATCTTCAAAGTTTTGACACCGTCAGGCCCCCGCATAAGAAGTTGCACCCAGGCAGGAGTCTGAAGCAGAGGGTCTTGATTTTTTCCTAGGAATAGCACTTCCTCCAAAACTAGTTGCTCCTTCCCGACCCAGCCTCAATGGGCTCCTTTGTATTTTTTTGTTTGTTTGTTTGTTTGGCTTTGTGTTCTGGTTTGATTTTTTTCCTTTCTTTTTTTCTTTTTTCCTCTTTTCCTCTTTTTTTTTTCTTCTTTTTTGGTGGCTATCGGGTGTACAGTATGGAGAACAATCGGTCGCCGGTGCTGAGCCATTGTTTATCAGGATCTTCCTCAGCAACCTTGCTTCGAGGGGAAGAGTCACATAGGCAGCAGCCCTGGCGCTTCATGACTTCCCTCTCCAGTTGGCTTCCCGGGATTGGACCGTAACACATAACCCTAGGAGAACCTCTCTGGGCGAGCCAAATCTCGAGGCTGCAAACGCGTCTGGCTGTTGCCTCTTAAAAAAAGGTATATATCCCGTGCCTTAACTTGCAAACGATACTCCCGTCTGCTGGCATAATTTGCTTAATAACCGTAGTAGGCTGGGTCTGGTGAGTATTTTCGATTACCAGGAAATCTATGGGCTGGTAGCGGGTTTGTTTTCAAGGGGCCAGACAGAGCGAGAATGCTGCGGGGCTCTGACTTGAGAGCCGGCACTCGCCTCCGATGCTTGGCTCTTGCCGCCGCCGCCTCCAGTCACCCCTGCCAGGTCGAGGCAAGTCCCGAATTTGGATGCTTTTGGCATAATTTTCCAACCATACTGAGGAGACAGGGAGAGTGATGACAATGATGGCCACAGTCACCAACCCGATGAATCCTGGGGTCACAGCCGCCCTAGGCAGCCCGGACGGGGCTTGCCTGCCCGCCGAGCCCGGGGTGCACGGCGGGGTGGGGTGCGCCGGGGGCCGGGGCAAGGCGCTTCCGAGCCGCTCTCCGCGTCCTCCAGGAGCCAGAAACCATCGCCAGCGCGATGAGGTGCCGTCTCGCTTTATTTTCGGAGTTGCCAAACAGGGGTCGGCAACCGTCTTCGTAATTATATTAAAAAAAAAGAAAAAATAAATAAAAAAAATAAAGAAAAAAAATACGGGGGGGTGGAGGGAGGGAAAACAGAAAACAAGACTCAAAGCACTCAGTGGATCAGTCTGCGTCCAGTCTGCACGAAGTGCATTTTAAAAATCGGTTTTAAGTTAATGCACCCACAAGATATAGCATATCTGCGAAGGCATTGGAGAGAGGGGGAGGGGAGGGGCCGAGAGGCTTTAAATGGGCTTTTTGGTGGTTGCTTGTTTAAATAAAATATAGAACGAGACTTGTCATTTAATCCCTCAAAAGGGATGCCTTACAAATATCGATGCTGCTGGAAAATGCAAGGGGTTTAATTTTCTTGCTTTTAGTCCAAACAAAGCTCTGGTGGTGTCTGCCCGCGATCAATCTTGGCCGCCAAAAGGTTTGACAGCTACTGGCCCTTAAGAACACATTTAAAGCTTCTTGCTCTTTCCAAGATCAAATGTGGCCGTGAAAAGAGGCAGAGCAAGAAACGCAAGTAAACAAGGAAAAAAGCTGCTTTTAAAATATGCTGGCAGAGGACTGGGCTGCTTGTGGGAAAAGTCCGGTTTTATTTTGCTTCTTGATGCCTACGTTTTCTTTTCTCTGATTTCTTTTTTTTTTTTTTTTTCCCCTCTGGAAAATATTGGGATTAAGAGCAGGATGACAAATAATAAAGAGAGAGGTTTGGACTTTAACCAGGCTTTGTGAGTAAAACCTGTGTGGGTGTCTCTATTCTGCACATTTGTTTCTTGTGGTCAGTCTAATACAAAAACCACCTGGAACAAAACCTTTGCAGAGAGGACGCGAAATTCTTGGGAGAATCAATTACTTCTGCCTCCTGGGGCATCTTTTAATCGGACGAATCTTAAATGCAAAATTACAAATTCTTATTTGCAACCTACAGGCTCTGAAGAGAGGATTGAAGACGGTTTATGGAAAGAAGGGGGTGGGGGGGGAAATCGCCTGTATTTTTCTTTCTTCGGGGTGGGAGGGGAATGAAACGCCAACTTCCTTCTATTTGAACATTTTCCTAAATGCAATTCGTGGTGCTAAAGGAACCACGCAGTAAGTATCGTGACTGTACCGTTACCTTTTGTTGTATCTAACCTAACCGATCCGAGAGCTGGTGGGGGCGGCTGGAATTTTATACGGGCGCTCCTTTGAAACGAGCATTGTCTTGCAATGTTGCAAAAATGCTTCCTTCACCTACAAAAGTAATAATCAGTCGCTGGTCTGTATTGTGTAATAATCAGATTCCGGTGAAAAATATTAGCCTACATAGCCTTTCCTTCCACGGTTACATGTCTATATATACAATAAACAGCACGGTATAAATCTATTTGCTATCCTTTTCTTTGACTGGGCATGCTTTATCTATTTATGCAGAAAAGCTCTATATAGATTCACGGATGCATGACAATGTTTCAGCATCAGGCAAGGATGGTTCTGGGAACAAGGTAAAGCCCAAAGATTAATAATATTTCAGCATGAGACCAAAATGGCGACATTTTTTTTCTGTGCTCTAAAAGATACAGATGGTGAACAGCGTGCGTTATTATCTACACAGCATAGGAATATGTCTTTATAAACGTGCAGGGGTATATTTTACCTAGTCTATTAAGGTCCGTTTTGATTTATCTTTCAAGTTTCAATCTAAAAATTACGGACATTTTGCCTGAAAGGAAGAAAAATCGGATTTAAGCACAAGCTTGCGGGTTTCTCCATTCCACCTCGAGCCGATTGGGACCGGGGGTGCCCATTTGGGGCAGGGACCGTCGCCCTTCTACAGTACCGTGTCCCCCCCCGCTCCCCGACACAAACACACACCCGCACACACATCCACACCCCCCGCGGGAAGAAACGGAGCCCAGCGCTCCCCTCCCCCACACCTTCAGGCTGCCGTGGGAGGAAAGGCGGCTCAGCAAAAATGAAATCAGCCCCAGAAAAATATTTTTAAAAAATAATAATTCGGGGGGGAAAAATAGGGAAAGGAAAAGGTAAAATCCACTTCTTAAAGGAAAAAGGGGCAGGCGGCGGGGTTGGCGAGCGGAAGGAGCAGCAGTGCACCCGGGGCCGGACCGCGCTGTCCCCCGGGCACCGGCGCCCGTGCTTCCCACACAGGCTCGCACAGCCACAGCCGCAGCCCCGGCTGTGCTCCCGGCGCTGCTCCGCGGCCGGTCCGGTCCCCCCGCAGCCCGCGGGGAGGGGGCGATCCGCGCCCGCCGGGCTCCGCGCAGCGGGTGCGGGAGGAGGCGGCGGCCGCGGGCCCTGAAACCCTGCTGGAGAAAGGGGGGAAAAAAAAAAAAAAAAGGAGAGAGAGAGAGAAGGGAAAAGAAAAATCTCTCTCCCTGCCTATGAAATGCTGAAAAGGGGCCCTTCGGGTGAGCAGACCCTCGTGTAAGTTTACAGACGAGTTTCCTAGCTCCCCACGTCATGAAGGGCTCTCCATTCCCCTGCGCTGCGAAGAACATGTCCTTAACTCTTTATTATTCAGAATAAAAACTTTATTTTTTTTTTCCAGAACGTGAGCAGCAAGGAATGTATAACTTTCAAAACAAATCTAGCCTTTTCAGCTTCACACACTTTTTGCCTAGCTGGATGTTACAAGCATAAAGTATTCAAACCGCGATCTTTTTTCCCAGATTTTATTGCATCGTCATCATCATTATTATCACTATTTTTAATAAAAGGAGTTAATAGTTTCCTTTCAAATGATATTTCTAACACGTGCCGATATGCCATCTAATATATGGCCTCCTGAATATTCAGGGTACAGATTTTTTTAATATATATATAAATATGAACAAATGGGGATAAATAAAATTTTAAACACTTAGATTATTCAATGTTTGCGAAAAAAAAATATAAATAAATCTGAATGTTCACCAGCATACACACATTGAAAGACTTACACGTATCAATAATTGTCCAGGAAGTCCCTGTCCAAGCGCTTTTGATGTCTTTCTTGCTATTTAAAAGAAGTGCAATAAAAAAAATTGCTTCCCCGTGGGATCAATCATGTACGAACAAATTCACATTTAAGAATTCCTTTTATAGAAAATTTGTTCATATACCCTGTTTTGATAAAAGTGTAGAAGGTAAAGTATAAAGCCTCTGCATACTCCCAAAGTGAGACACAAGGCTACAGTTCAAGAAGATAAATATCCACTAGTGAAACTATAGAGCAATTCAAGCAACAAATATTGCTACGTCACATAAACTAGAAAACGCTTTTACGAAAGGAAACAAAACAAACCGAAACGAACAAAAGAAACGAGAAGGGAAGGGGAGGGCACATGTTGGGGGGAGGAGAGAGAAGGGAAGGGATGAGTACTTTCCAAAACTTGGGGGCTTGCTGTTCCTCTTAGTGACTCCTGTCTCTTACAGATGAGTGAGTTTGGGCGCTTCCTGAATTCTTCCCTGAGAAGGATGGTGAGCGGTAAGGTCTGTGTATGTTGGATGTGGATCACAAGGTCCATGGTGGTGATTGTTGGCCATTGGCCCAGCCCCGCTGTAGTCCATGTTGGCAGAGGGAGGATGAGGGAGATGAGTTAGACCAAAGATGGAAGGCCCAGAATTGGTCATGGTCTCCACGTAGTTGCCCCCTACATAGACGGGGCTTCCCTGTATATGTGGATTCCCATAACCGTTGCCTTGAAGAGGATGAGTATCATATTCAGGTGTCACAGCTGCTGTCCCCGTGTATCTCTTTTGAGGAGGTGGGCAATTATTAAGAGGAGCAGTATACGATGCAGGGATGCCATAGGTGTTTTGATGAGGCTTGTTAAATGGTGGAGGCGACTGGGGTTCGTAGGGGACACTGTTTACTAAAGAATGCATAGAGTTTAGATATCCCCCAGCAGCTGGAGGGACGGGGCTTCTGCTTGGGGACTGTCCTCCTGAAGAGGTCATCATACCCTTTCCCTTTTGATCCTTTTTGTATTTCATTCTGCGGTTTTGAAACCAGATTTTGATCTGTCTTTCTGTGAGATTGAGCAAATTAGCCATTTCTACCCTTCGTGGCCTGCAAAGGTACCTATTGAAGTGGAACTCCTTTTCCAGTTCTACCAGCTGGGCACTTGTGTAAGCTGTACGGGCTCGCTTAGAGGAGGCTTGCCCTGGAGGGCTTTTATCACCAGCACAACTCTCACCTATGTAAATCACACAAAGAACACAGTCAGCATGGCAAACCTACACACGGCAACATGAGAAAATGGCCAACAACACCAGCACCTGGAGACTTCCGCTCCCAAAGGCAAGATGGATGCCCACGCGTGCAGCGAGTGCTCCCCCAAGGCATGAGCTCAGTTGTGCCGAGCTCCAAGCCTCGAAAGAGTTCCTTGACCTCATTAGTGTCACTGTATGACTACACTTGCTTCCCCTAAGAATGACAACATCCAACGTATCTCAAGCTTGGCAAAGAGGAGCAAGGAAGGTTCAGGGAAATACAGTGAGGTTTAGAAGTGCTGAAACTGAACCTGTGGCTCTGCTGACATAGTGGGATCAAACTCTTCAAGAAATAACTGTTCTCCATATAAATATGTATATTTACATATATGTATATACATCAGCTATAAATGCCTGAAAGCTAGATATCTACAATAAAAAATTTAATGTATAAATATAGAATTATCAGTATAGTGGATTTTTTTATCATGTCTGGTATATAGCATGAACATATGGTAGTGATTGGGAAGTATATATAAAGAAGAACATACAGTAGCTAGGCTTGCATATAGGCATAGAGATATATCTAAATCTTGCTGCTTTTTAATTAAAGAAATACATTATATGGGAGGTTGAAAACAGCAGTGTTACCACAGCTTTAAAAAGCAGACTGGCAAAACATTTGCTGAAGTTTTGAACTCTATTTCCAAGGGACATTTAAGCAAAAAAGAGGAAGAAATCAGAATAAGCCTGACTTCTGGGCTTTGGAGCTAGCACTGGTGTTATCAGTTTGGGTTTCCTTGAGTAATAAAAGGGTTGATATACACTTCCATCCCTCAAATAATGTTTTATGGGCTGAAGTTTATAGCACTCCTGAATGATTTTTGTTTACCAGGCTTGTAACTTTGCCAATCAGCTTATTAAAATAGGAAGAGGTTCTGACTGCATGCAGGGCATTGATCCTGCCTGCACATGATTATGAGCTATTTTATTCCCGTTACACTTCAGCAGAGATAGGTCACTGTCTTATTAATCTAACAGCACCATGCCAACAAAGTACTCGGGACAAGCCTCTGGCTTAAGGCCTGGGCTGCTCCACACTGACATGATTTACTGAAGGGGGGATTACCTAAGAAATGTGATAGATGCTGGAGGGCACAAGTGGTTCTGCCACTAGGAAGCAAAGTCAGTTCAGATCCATTCTGCAAGTCTGGGAAAGTTTTGTATGGGGTGTTTTTGTCACCGAGCTCCCCTCAGTGAATAAGCTGAGTGATGGCAAGCCCTTTCCAAAAGTTTCATGGGGTCAACTCAGAGGGTGAAAAAGCCCCCACCCTCCCCTCCCTGAAGTGAAGGTGGGTAAGACAACCCTCCTCCCCACCGGATGCATAGGCAGCCCAGGAGTACCCAGGGAGAGGGGGAGCGTGTTTCATACCTGAACTGGAACTGCTGTTTTTCTGCTTTGTGTTTTGCCGAGACTCTTTCATCCATGGGAATATCTGTTTGGACACGGTGGGTGAGTTAAGAGCTGGGCTCTTGGTGGGGTTGGCCGGGGCAGGGTTGCTGCTGGCATTTTGAGGTGGTGAGGTGGAGGTCGGAGGTGGAGGTTGTGACTGCTGGGCTGGAGGCGGCTGCGGTGGAGCCTGTGGATCAGCGAGGCTGGGGGGCTGGAGAGTCTGGCTGGGGAGGGTCCTCATGCAACTCTCACTGATGTCATTGGCCTTGTGGTGGGACACAGAGCTGCCAGGGGACTGGAGAGAGCACGCGGGGCGGTGGTACTCAGTTTCCACAAGTGATGAAGATGGAGGATATTGCTGCTGACTCGCATTATAAGTGAAACCATTTGCTCCTTGGTAGGGGTAGGCACCATAGATTGCAGAGCTGTCGTAGTAGGTCGCTTTTTGCATTTCGTTGTTTCCCAATATTTATTTCGCAAACTGACAGGGTCTTGACACCCTTGGAGAATAACATTGGCACCCCTCTGTCACGTGGCGCTCTTCCTCCAATGGCCTCTCCGGGCAGACCTGGGGTGTGGGGAGAGCAGAGCAGGGTGAAGAAATGGTACAAATCCATCTTACTTTCAATAGCTAAGTGACATGAAAGCCATAAAAGAAAAAGTGGTCAGCAATATTTAGCAGCATGACTTGGCCTCAGGCGTGGAGCATTTCGATATAAAAGCTGCCTGGATTTACTGGCAGCTACAAATATGTGCTTTGCTGCACCGGGATAGAGGCTTTCTAGGTTTGCTTTTTTTTAATTATTATTTCTTTATTCTTAAGGAGCAGAGCAAGCGGGTTGATGGTTTATCACCAAGAGGCTGTTTTAATACCGGTCTCTGAGATAAGGGTGATCGAGGAATCAGTGATGCAAAGGGGCTGAGCTATTACTTCAGTCCAACTCTAGGATCAAACCCTCTCCTTTAACCAGCGGTGTTTTATTTTTAGCCTTTCTCTCCTGGCTAGAGCTCTTCATACAACTTCAATGAAATATATGCGATGGTTCCTGTCTACGTGTGGCAGGGGGCAGGAGCAGGGTGGAAAGGTTTCCTAGGCAGGGATATTTAAACACCCCGACCCCGAGTGATGGATTTTGGCTTGTCTATGAAATGCTCGATAGGAAAATAAACGAAGCCGGCACCTTCTCCCCTCCGTGCCTGCACGCCGCCCCGAGCCGCCCAGGTCACGCACCCTGGCCGCAGCGGTTCGTGCCCGGGCGAGCCCCGCCCGCCGCCCGCCGCGGCTCCCTCTCGGTGCTTGGGCCGTCCCGCGGAGCCCCGGGCCTGCCTCCCACTCGCGAGTGGCTCCGGCCTCAGCTGCGCCCGGCGCCGCTCGGAGCCCCTCCAGAGGGACCAGCAGGGGCGGTCGTTGGTTTGTTTTTTGCAGCAGTTATTTTCAAGACACTAACTTTTCGTGGAATCAGCCAGATCCTACCTGTTAAAACATGATGGATTGGGGGAAAAAAACACACCAGAAACCTGAAAAACCAGCGTTCATCTCCATGACCACGGCTTGAACTTTCCTTCCAACTTAGCGATAATAGGTTCTGTCTTGGAAACTGCTATGTAATTTGATGTATGAGGGTCACTTGGCTGGGGAGAGGGTGGACACAAACTCAGAGAATGCTTCTCCTGCCCGGGCGAATCCCTTCCTCCCCCCCCCCTGTTTGTAAATCTGTGCAGAAAATACAGGGTTGTATTTTCAGTAACAATCTGCAGAATTAATCTCTCTGCTTTTATCTTTTGTCCCCCCCCCCGCCCAAATTAAAATCTACTCGTCACCTGCCTGAAAATAACCAATTAAAGAATCGCCCGTATTAATGAGAGAGGAGACCTGTGCATAACCTCCGATCTAGGAGGTGTTTCCACACGCACTCACATTGTTCTCAGAAACTGAAGTGTGTTTCTCACCGTCCTCCTAACCCCTTGCTGGCAAATAACCACGTCTTTTCAGATCACAAGGGCCTCTTTCCTTTTACCACTTTCCCTGTACTTAAGCAGCTGGATATTTTCCCCCAAAAACATCTAACGAGGACAAATGCTTAGGGGTGAAAAGCCTTACACAACACAAGCACCAAACGAGCTCATTCTACGCCTTTCAAGTTATACAAGTTCTTAGAAAACAGTATTCCCTTTGTTAGATCGTAACAAAATGAAGGTAACACACCTACAGCAGGGCGGTTACCCTGTTATTGCACTAATCAAGCTCTTTGGATGCTATTAAGCTAATAAGCCAGTGGAGATCTGAGGAGCATACACAATTTCCAGCTCCTCTCCTCTCCTTGCCTCTGCTATCGAGGCCTGGTGTGATTTTTCTCAATTCCTTTGAAAGAGAGACTATAGACACCACTACCAGAGGAGAAGGAGGAAACAATCAGCCAGCGGTGATTTCACAAAGGCACCCGCCTTTCATGACCGCGACATCAAATATTTCACCTTCCTTCGGCCGCTGCGAAGTTTTGTGGCGCTGGCAGGACGGGCAGCGCGGAGCGAGGGTGCGGGTGCGCTGCTCCCGTAGCTGCCGGCCTGCAGACAATAGGCAATTTTACTTGGAAGGCAAAATATTATTGGAGCTTCGGCCGTCTGCCAGCAAGTTTAAAAAAAAAAAAAAAATAAAAATCAGATCCCGAGTTCGGGTTCGCCAAGTTAATCACTTCCTACAAAGTTATAGAGAAGCGGGGGTAACCTGAGGAGCGCCCGGTCATTCCAGGAGAAAGTGGGAATAGAGGGATTAAGAGCGACAACGATCCCGGCAGCGTCCTAACGGGAAAGGGGAGAGGAGGTGGATTTACCACCCCAGCCGGTGCCTGGGATGGGAAGAGCTCTCCTCTCCCCTTCGAAGACAAAAAGGCAGGTTTTACAAACACAAATGGGCCCCCAAGCTTTCCAATGCCTCTTTTATCGGCTCCGTCTCGGTTTGTGCAATACACGGCTCTGCACTTTACCAACTTCTCTCCCTCCACCCAGACAGCCCAGAAACAGCAGATGAAAATTGCTTGGGAAGGCAAGTCCGCTTGGTTTTCCCCACTCCCTACTTCAGCTCTGTCCTACCCTCTCCTCCGCTGCGCTTCCCCCCCTTCCCAAGCACACCAGATCTTTACCCCGTACCTCCCAACCGAGCCCCCAACTCTGACTCGAGGACGAAAAACCAGGCAGCCCCCCTGAAAGATTTCCTGAAAGATAAAGACAAAGTTGAGGGAAGGTGGGGGGTGGGGGGAAGAGAGGAGAGAGAGCTGCCTGAACACGAAGTGTGAGGGTATCAGTCACTGCCTGGAAGGAAGCCCCAGCTTGTGAACTCTTCTTGAACCGACATTTAAGTCTACGGTCATAAATCACTGGGACATAAACTCCGCCATTCACGACTGATAGCAGCGTATTTGTGGCCTGCTTACCTTAACTTCTGACGACTGAGGCGGAAGCCAGCATGCTCTCTCTCTCTCTCTCTCTCTCTCTCTCCCTCTTTTTTTTTTTTTTTTTTTTGAGGCGACACAACCCAGAGAGCAGGGGCTGTCTGCCCCAGCTCGATCCCTGCGGCCGCGGGGTGGGCACGGGCTCAGCTCATGGGCAGCCGGCACCCCCCGGCCGAGAGGGGCGAGTCCTGCCCCGCACGGGATGGGGTCGATTGCTCCCACACCCGCCTACCCCGCTCCCCTGACGCTTCCAGCTGCGCACCCTACCCCGAGCCGGTCCTCGGCGTACCGTGCTCCCCCTGTGCGGGGCACGGAGGACGGGGATGTTTCCCAGGGCTGCTCTGGGAAGGGAAGGAGAAAGAGGGAAGGAGGGGGGGTGGGGGGGAGTTGGAGCGGGGAAAATAGGAAAATATTAAAAAAAAAAAAAAAAAGGAAGGAAGAAAGAAAGGCGGCCGCCTGGGGAAGCATGGGGCAGGGTGGGGGCTGGGGAGGGAGCGCAGGAGCACGGCAGTGAAGGAGTGCGGCCCCCCCGCACCCGGGCGTCACCGAAGTCCAGGAAAATTATGCTAATGAAGACAAACGGCGCTCACAAAGGGTCGCTCTCACCAGCCTCCAGGGTGCTGCTGTGGGGGTTTGAGTTTGTCCCTCTTACCGGTGGGCTTGGGGGGCAGCTGCAGAATAGCCCCTCTGCCGCTCCCCACGGCCGGGAGCCCCGCACAGCCCCGGCTGAGTCTCGGCGAGGGGAGCAAAGCCCGGAGAGCCGGGGCTGGGTCCTCAGAGCCAACCGAAGCCCACCAGGATCCCCGCTCTGGGCAATGCTTTCAGAGCCACGCTGGAAATCATTAGAGTTACTAATTATTAACTCATGCATGCGTGAGCGCACACACACACAGATGTACACACAGACACCCCCTGCCCCCCTCAAATATCCCCAGCGCCCGGGACGGGCACAGAGGCGCTCACGCACGCACATGTGCTGCACAGACGGGTCGGGGTGCCCGCAGCACCCCGTGGGGACGCGTGGGTGGGAGCCTCGCGTGGCCGCGGGCCCGTCCCTCAGCTCGTCTCACAGCTCGCCTTCGCCTCCTTTCCGCGGCACAGCTGAGGAAGGCGCTGGCCTCTTTCCTCAGCCCCACGGGCTTTGGGGGTGGCGGTGTCCCCCCAGTTTCCTGCACCAGAAACACGGCAGCGACCGCGCAAACGAGAACTCAAACAAAGTTGGGGATCCTGCCCGTCTGGCAGACGGTAACGGGGCTCTGGGCTCCGAGCATTAAGCGGAGCCCGCGAATAAAATCTAGGTGTAAACTTGACGTTACTTCGTTAATTAAGGCATTATAAATATAACTAGTCCGTTTAAAGCACGAGGGAACCCAGCGTCATCTTTAAACACAAACAAAGCGAGGGGGAAGCGAGAAATAAAAAGCACTATAAGGCTGGGGTGGCCTCTTACGCATACCAATGGTTTTTGTCATTTATGGCTATGCAAGATTTATGACTTCGTGCACCAAAGCTGTAAACAGAGCACTAAAACAGAAAACACTTGCTCCTTATGGCACAAGTGAGAAGGCACCACATGAAAGGGGAAGCGGCCAGCGTAGGAGGAGAGAAGAGGCAAAAATCCTTCGTATGCGTTTTGCTTCAAACAATCCTGTGAATGTTGCTTTGGAAGAAAAAAAAAAAAAAAAGTCTTTTTAGTCAATAATCAACCCCACACTTTCTTCTGAAACTGCTGATCTGCCATTCGCCCACTTGCCCGGCCAAATACTGAGAGGCAGCGCTGCGCCCCGGCGGAGCCCCCCGGACTGGCGAGGAGGATTTGGACAGGGAGAGAAAAGATGGGGACTGCCGAAACCTGCGGACACCGGGGACCCTGCCGGTTTGGGGGGCCCGCCGAAAACTGGGCCAGTTTTTCCTAAGAGCGCGTTTCAACTTGGGAGCCATCTCCAGCGGGATTTTCTGACCAAATGTCTGTATTTAAGAACGGGGAACGGGAAGCGGGGGGAGGTTTTTTTTTAGAAATGGAAGGGTATGTAAGGACTTTAATCGTGAGAACCGGAGTGGTTCATAGGAATATGGAAGCGTTTCTTCCATTCATCTTGCTGCCTGGAAAGTGTATTTTGCGAGATTTCTCCAATTAGTCCCATTTCCCCACGCCCCCCCCCCTCCCCAAAGAGGTAATTTTAAACATGAGAAGATGATTATTTTTTTTTTATGTCTCCTATGATGTCGGGATAAGTGTCCCAACGCACAGATCCCCGCTGCTTTTATCTGTCTTTCCCTCCCAGAGGCCGAATATTTTCTTTCTGCTCCATTCCACGGAGAGAGATAGGGCTCAGCTCGGGGGGGCACGGGCAGGGTTTGGGGCTGATTTCTGAGTCAGAAATGACCTGCCTTTTCTCCCCGAAGAGTCCCACTCTGTGGCACTCCCTCCCCTCCCTCCCGCCCCAACTCCCCCGAATTACTATTTTCCGAATAAAATAATGCCTGTAAAGCACCTTGTCCTTGGATGCCCCGAAATGGAAGCAGGCAGCACCATAATTCAGGGCTGCTTCTGGGGGATCTCTTAGAGATGAAATAGCAAAGCAGGGAGTTCAGGGAGAAGTGGGCCACTCCTGGAAGTGGTGCTTGTCCAAGTCGTTAGAGAGTTAGAAGGGGATATCAGCTGAATTAGAGAAGGACTGGACAATCGAAGCAAGCCGTGGTCAATCTAAATTGTTGTTTATATTTTCTAACGCTAGAGAGGCAACGCACTCTTTGCTATTTGCTCAACAGCCTGAAGTTATTTACACAACTCGCCGAAATCCCCCTTTCCTCCAGAACTCTTCTTGCTTTCTTTTACTCTAGAGCAGGACTGTATTATTTATGAGTGTTTTAACTGGGTCAATATGCATCCAAACTGGGTCATAAATCAGCGGAAAGACTGCCAAGTAATTTAACTGCAATTAAAGCTTGGATTTTATTTTTGAGGCACATTTTGGCCCATTTCAAAATACGGCAAAGCCAATGTTGGCTTTTAAACACACAGAAGGGAGAAAAAGAGCTCTCCTTCCCTTACTGAAGAGAGAGATATCGTGCTTCAGTGTGGCGAGAAGGGGAAATAAAATTTATTTGGGTCAGTTCTGCTTCGAGAGCCGCTTTAAAGAGCAGGGAAACGTGAGACCATCCCAAACATCACCCTGAAGGTCTCTGCAGAATGGCCGCGAATAGCTCCGAGTGGAAATAACCTTTTTTTTTTTTTTTTTTTTTGGTGCTCTCAGCGGAGTTTTTATCATCGTTCACTTTTCTCCCTCTCTCCCTCTCTTTCTGACCCCTTAGAAGACGAGCAATTACAAACAGCGCGTAACTGGACACAAAATGGCTCAACAAGAATAAGCGAGAGGCATGGAACGAACTGGAGGAAAGCGAGTCCCGGGGCTCCAACCTTTCCCAAAGCCGGGGCAGACCGGGGAAACAGGGATTCATTTAGCATTTTGCCCTCTTTGGATAGCCAAGTAATCTCTCATTTTTGTCATTTAAAGTGCATTTATATCTATGCATTCACATTGACAAGTATACACAAATACTTACATATTTATATATATGGATATATCTATATTTATGTATGCGACGGCATGGATATTAATTTAGAGCTAGTATATGTTCTCCCAGAAGATACTTTCCACTCCTCTCCTTTTAATTCTCTCTTTCCAGATCCCCAGTCAGAGAGGCAGAATAAACCCCCACATTTTCAAGGCTGATTTATTGTTAGAAGCCGTGGCTGGCTCTTGGTTCAGCTCCTTCTCACCGCGGAGAAATAAAGAGGAGCGCCTTGGCTCATTTGGGAAGGGGAAGCTTTGCCATGGAGCTGAGCACTCATGCAGCGCTCCTCGCACAATAAACAAAGTACCACTAAAGCATCATAAATAAAATGGCAGCACGATCGCACAGTCATCGATTTACGGAGCGGCAGCGGCCGAACAAACACCCATAAAACAACAACGCCGCCGCACACTCGAGCACGACCCCGACAGAGGAGCATCACACACCCCCCACATCGTTTTCTCCGACTTGCCCAAATACATAAATAAATAAACACACAAACACGCAAATAAAATAATAGAATAAAATTAAGGGGGGGAAATATTCAAACACGACAATAAAAAAGGCTTCCTATCTCCAGCCGGTCATAAATAATGGTAAAATGGCAATCGAGGGGCTGTAGCGGAGGCAGCTGGCCATCAACAGCAGTGTGGGATCTCTATGGAGAAAAATAAATAAAGAAGCAAACTCTGCCTGCTCTGCTCGCTGCAAGGGTAGAGTTGAATATTTACCACAGCAAATTGAAACAAAGGGGGAAGCAGCCTGGCTCCGGGTGCACACACACCCGCACGCACACACACGCACTCACTCCAGCCTCTGCTACTGACCTTTGCCTCGAACAGCAATAACTCACCACATAAATGAACAATCAACGGAAATACCTTAAAATAAAATCCATCCTTTCTAACGAAGCATTTCGTCCTCTCGGCTCGACAATAACCTTTCCATAAGGAACGAAAGCTGTCAGCGAAATGGCCAGCTCTTGTGGGGACGGTGATGGGGGCAGGAGGAAAAAAAAAATAATAGAAAGCAGTGCTTGCTCTGAACAGAAACTGGAAAAGCGTAATCGCAGACGGAGCCAGACCGGGTCTCCACTCCAAATGCCACAATAATGCGCTGTATTATGTGCTCACGTGGTCATACGTCAACTTAAATCCTTTTATTTGAAATAGGGAATCATTGAAGGAACAGGGTTTCTTAGCGCGAGCCTTCGCTTTTTAAAGCCTTAACCCAATATGTTAAAGAAGAGTTTTAAGGGAGGAGAAAAAAAAAATCTAAGAGATGCAGATGACTGTGGGGGGAGATTGGTCTGATTCTCTTTCCTCCCACACCAATATTTCTTTATACAAAACCCATTGGAAGGTAAGAGGAATTCTTATAACGCTGCACTTCGATACTTAGCCTAATTAGCCGGCGTTTGCTCCCGAGGCCCGCCGCTCTGCTGCACGTCGCATGTCCTCTGCAAGCCCCGAAGAAAGCCCAAATCTTAATGCTATTATTTCCAGCCCCCTTCAAAACGGGACGATTACCAGCCTTCCCCCCACCCCCAGCTCCCTCTACCCTGCCATTGTACAGGGCTTGCTCAACTCCCACACGCTACATCAGGACTCCTGTAGAAACTAAAAAGACCTATAATTACCTGACAAAGGCAAAAAAGAGTCTCTTCTAAGAGGCTAGTTGATTTTTGTCCTCGTAACACACTATGAAGAATACACCTTCCTTCACTGGCGTGCCTCTGAATTTTGCAAAATCTTTTGGGACCTTGCTGTTAAACCTGTGCTTACGCATTTCCTATACAGCTAGTTTGAGTGATGCACAAAATTATAGGTTTCTAGCGTTGGAAAAGAAAAAAAAAATTGGGGAGGGGGAGTTCTTTGCCTTAGGGAAAAAATTAAGGAAAAAAGAAAAAAACAAAGTTGTATGTGGCCCCTGAGCCAGGCAGCTTTGCCTGTGTGTGAACCCATCGCATCTTCCCTGTAAGATTGTTTAACTTGTGCTATTGACACAATAAGCTAAACAAACAAAAGAAACCCTCCACTCACACAACTTTTCTGGAAGGAGTCAAAGTAAATCACATAGTTCACGCTTTTGCCGCGCTCCTGGTTCAGTTCTGTGGCTCCAGCATTGTGCATCATCATGTATGCACCCTTGCCCAAATCTTTCCACCATCTCCCATGAGCTCAAAGAAGCTAACTACATATCCCCTCTTGCTGTTTCACCTACACTTCATTGAACAGAATGGAAGGAGGTTTCTTTTTAAAGATGACTTCTAGTGTTAGTGTAAGGTTTGTTAGTGACAAGCCTTATAACACTCTCGCCTGAATTGTAAAAGAGGGCCACTGGAATGTAAACCCATTCGTAACAGGGTACAGTAGTGGCATTGCAGCAAAGTCAGCGTGAGGTTACAGCAGGAGAAAACTTTGCAATTTCTCATATGGAAGTGACTAAGTTAGTATCCAGGGTATACATGTTATCCCTCACTAGGAACTGGAATAAAAACTACACATGTCCCAAAAAAGAGGGGGCATTAGGCACACTCGACATGCCCGAGTCTGGAACTATGAGCTTGCCTGGTAACTCCACAGCTCTCACACTTATCGTAAACCAAGGCCGATATTTGCTTGAGATGGATTCACCGCTCTTTTAAATTTGGTGCGTTTGCATCCCGTAGAGGAAGCACACAACTGAAATTCAACAATGAAACTGAAATTAATGGGGAATGGAGCAGATGTTGAAAAAAGCGAAGCAAGTCTTTCTTGGGGCTGTTGTAAAAAGTTATCGACTGCTTTGCGTCAAAAGTAGAAAGATGGCTTTAGAAGTTACAGTCTTGAGCAAATAGAAACTACAAAAGCAATAAATCACAATCATAAGTCATCTGAAATGCCTTAACGCTAGCTGTGGCTATTGGCTTCAAAACCTTGTTTCTGTGAACATCTTTATTGGTATTAATGGTCAAGTTAATCCTAAAACTACTGTTTAACAATTAACTTGGTGTATATAGTGGGGAAACTAATTAATTCTTAAGAAAAGTAACTTCTTGACGTGTGAATACCTTTCACAGAGTGTGCTGTGGGAAGGCAGAAGGGGGAGTCTGCCTAACTTTTTGCTGTCCTGAATTGCAGCTGAAAATTATTCTCTTCCGCCAAATTTGGAGAAAGTTTTCTTTGCTCTAGTAGCGTGATTACGAGGTTTCAGATGCAAATTCAAATGATGCTGCGAGTCGCAGGCGCTAGACTTCCCTCGCCACCCCATTTCTTGCTTTGTTCCTGTTCCTGGACACTCAACATTGTTTATCTTGATGATTTGGAGACCCGAAAGACTGTTTCTAGTAGAAAAAAATGTGGAGTTTATCAGTAGGTGTACTACTGACTTTTCGGTGCTTTATACACATGCCTTGGAGCTGAGTTTGAATTCCAGACCCAGTAACAACAAACAGATCTGAGTTCATAACGTGCCTTCATTAAGGGAGACCCTTTGTGCCCGTTCTGGCATTAATAGCCAATCTTAGCATTAATGCTATTTGAAAATACCTTCACTATAATTAGAGTTAGAATTTTTACTGTGCTTCAAGTTTACTTTTATGCCAGTCGGTAAGAGGTGTGCCTATCACTCCCATGTGGAGATGAAATGGGAATCACCCGTACGATATAAGTACTTATTTCCTCGCTACCTCGAAAGATTTGCAATCTGCTGGGGTGGAGAGCTGTTTACCTACATCCGTGCGCCTGATAAAGCTGGTCTTTGATCATTCCCAAGTAGATAAAAAGAGCAGCGTTATCGACTGTGCCCTTGTGAGAGAAGTTCTGCTCAGAGTCAGCTGAATCTGCCGCTGTTGGGTCCGTTTAGGAATCCCAAATATCTCTGCCCGCCATGCTGTGGGTACATGCCACCGGAGGAAGGTTCCTTCGTACCGTGTTTTCGCTTTCAATTTCCGAACGCAAGCGTGAATGGACATTTGCAGCGCCTTTTTGTAGTTAAGATTTAAGCAGCTCATTAAGCCAACACAAAGAGCCCTTGTAGTCCTGTAATTTATGGCCGCTTTTAAAAGGTAGTAAAATACACTAATTGTACATCAACATCCAAAAAGGAGCAGGTAAATCTAGCAGGAATTTGAGCTAATTCTATGTAATCCTCCCCTCTCGACGGCCGGCATTAAAAAAATTTGTCACTATGGAAAGCATTTCTTTTCTCCTGCCAGAGGACCAAGCACACCAAGGACTTCAGCAACTCCGAACCACCAGACACCGACCTCCACTCAGTGCAAAGCAGGCCAGGACGGACAAATACCCGAAATTTATTCGCGAACCATTCTGTTGTATGCACGCAGACAAAAATCAGGTTTTCTAACATCCCCACATGCACTTCTCGTTCCCAGGACTGGCTGCGGAACCCCTCGAGGAGGAGGCGAGCAGACAAGCCGCGATAAGCAGCCATTCAATACCGAACTGGCTCCAACCCTCTCTCCCTCGCCTGGTGCCTTTGATTTCGGAAGGAGCTAAGAACGGACAAAGAAATTCTCTAACTCTTTCGCTCTTCAGATGACTTTGCATCCTTCCTGTCCCCAATGCCTTTATAAGGATGGCGATCACTCAGGTCCCGTACACTTCTTTGTCTGCCCAGACACGCGCATTCACCACCCACGGAAGATGAATAGAGCCAATCCAGAAAAAAAAAAAAAAATTCCAGCTAGGTTAAATATTTATCGCAACAACAACAAAACCTCCTTCCAGCAGTCTTGTTCTTCATGCAGGTACCAGGCAAATCGCACTGTTACAGCTGCCACGGCCGCTGCCCGGCTCTTACCTCCTCCAGCTGCGCGGGTCGGGCTGAGGCGCTCCCAGCTCCTTCCACCGCCCCGGCCGAGCGCCTTCGTTTCGGGGCTCCCTGTAAACAAGCAACAAACAGTGCCTTACCGGGGAGTGCAGGGGGAGGTATTTTGCTCCTTCATTGGCAGTACATGGTTTGCCGGGTGCGCTGGGAGAGCCCGGAGAGGGGCGGGCGGGGATGGAGCGGGCTCGGGCTCCCGCGAGGAGCGTGGATTCCCACCCGGGTGAAGAGCACGGGGAGCTGAGAAATAAAAGCGTGCGGTTGTTTTGGTTGGGTTTTTTTCGTTATTTTTTTTTTTCCCTGTAGACAGCTATGCCTTCTGTCTCCAAGTGTTTGGAAATATTGTCATTCCTAACTCTTGTTACATGAATGTCTGCTTTATTTTCCTCTGGGAAACCTTTGTTTAGGATCATTTAATCAAGAACAGACATTAAACACAAGTCGTGGTGTTCATCTCTGCTGAATAAAACTCGGAAAGGATTCCAGTTTAAATGCGGGGCGTATTGTGGTTGGGCTTTTATTCAAACGGTTAGCCGGGGCCCAATCCTGCCACCACAAGCTCACTAAGAGACTAACAATTGACCTCAGCGAAGCGGGATCGGGCCCAAATGCTTAAAAAAAAATCCACCAACACAACACACACACACACAAAAAAAACAGCAACGAAAAAGTCGACATCCATGAAAGCTATTGACAGAGAGGAAAAAAATGGGTTGCTTCTTTTGCCCTAAAATAAGCAGTATTGCTGGTCCAAAAAGATAATAGTCAGGTTATTTGCATGCCACTTACTGAATCACTTTTACATATGAATTAATATTTTACATCTGTATTCAGTCTTGCTAATAAAACCCATCTAACGCATCTTACAATCGTCAGTAAATGTAAATGCTAATAATTAAATAACACCGTTCTTGCTGAAGGGTGTTATCTGAGCCCTGGAAATATTAAGTCTGTCTTGGGACAACTTTTCGAGCAGATACTTTGCTTTGGTAATTTAGTAGTTCCATAATTACGCTAATAATTTTAAATTTGGTGTTGAACTCCAGTCTACATAAAATTATGCAATAATAGCCTACTAAACTGTTTATTGCTGTCTCATAAATTTGCGAACGCTGACTGTTAAAATCTACTGGCAAACACAAAAGAAAATGGAAAGTTCGAACTGCAATCACAGAGCCCGGGCGCTGCTTCCTGGGGTTACCCTTAGCTCTACCTTTCCTTCCACTCGGCTTCAGCACAGGGGGAAACCCCCGGCATTTTAGGCTCAAAGTCGTACCTTAGCCGTTTTGATCCCTAATCAATAATCATGTTACACAAACAGCAATAATCATCGATCAAGCGTGTCCTGACTGGGTTGTCCCACTCGTGTTAAATATGGAGCGTGTATCTGAAAATGGTGCCAGCAACTTTCTGTTATTTATTTTGGAGCTGTTAGGTCACGCTACCATATTTTACACTGCCACGGTCCTTTAAAGTATGCTGTTTCTTGAAAGAGTTGCTAAGTAGCAATAAAGCACTTTACAAAAACTATGACTTTTTTTTTTTAATTTGTTGTTATCCCAAGCTCTAATATTCATTGCGGCACTCAAAGTTCGTACATAAATCGTTCAGACTAATGAGTCATAGAGAAATTCGCCCATGACTTTTCCTTTGCAATGCTCACTGCCTTTCCATTGCTTTTTTGGCCATGTATTAAGAGACGGTGATTTATTAACGCCAGGAAAATTGAACAAAGCAGGTCCTCCTGCACTGTGGCACCCAGCCTTCCACAGTGTGAATTAGAACATTATCAAGTGTGTTTGCCTCCGTAACACTTAATCACCAAAAGCCATAATGTGACCACAAGGCAGCTAAAACAAAGATTTAACATTTCTAAATATTAAACTTGTTAAGCAAATGCTCAGCAGACAAAGCAAGCACAAACAATTAAAGTCATCAAGCTAGAAATACACACTACCTACTTACCAACACAGACCCTATTGCTTGCTTAAGAAGTTTAGAATCTTTCAAGATAAATCAGGTGGGGTTTTTTTTAAAGGGAAAAAAAAAAGGAAAAAAAAAAAAGGAAAGAAAGAAAGAAAAACAAACTCCAGTAACAAGGAGTTGAGTTTCACTTCTGAGAGAATCACTCCTAGTGAGGACTGACGGCCACAGATCCATTCCTGACTATCTGCATTAATTATTTAATGAGTCACGTGACCCTAAAGATTAAAATTTCAATATCTCCCCCAGAACAGACGCAACACCTTTATCTGCGATACGAGCAGGGATGCTCGTACTTGGGTCCCCTAATCTCTCCTGCCTTTGACAGCTCCTCAGTTTCCGGGGAGAGCTCTGGGGCATTATTAACAAGGGTTTGTCCCGTTCTGCACAGCGAGCCGGGGCTGCTTTACACCCTCCGCTCCCCCCCACTCCAAAGGAATCAGTTGAACCCAAATCGTCATTGTCTGCAGCGGGGAGGGGGCTCTGCGCTGCTGCCAGGGGAGCATCAGGGCGCATTGCCCGGGTGAGTGCCGCCTGCCCCGGGCGGAGCCAGCAGGGCTGCCGGGGCCGCGGGGAGGCGGCCGCGGAGCTCCCCGGGCCCGCCGGGACCCGCGTGGGCCGGGCTT